TTTTTTTTTTTTTTTTTTTTTGTCCTTTTTTGAGACCGGCCGCATGCTCTTAGCCAGTGAGCACCGGCCATCCCTATATAGGATCCGAACCCGCAGTGTGCTCCCAGCGCCACACTCTCCCGAGTGCGCCACGGGCTCGGCCCCAGCCCTAGTTTATGTTAACTTTCAAACCACACAACTGATTTATACCACAGCAATATTAAACCAAGAAGAGAAATCTACTAAACATGGTCTTCTTACTATGAAAGTGAGGGCAAAAAACCCCTAACCCCCTATAGCTGCACAAGCAGAAGTCTATTGGTTGGATGTGCAATGAATTACATATGTAAGCTCGAGTGGATGGCATGCTTGCAACTTAATGGTTCCTTGAATTGTCCTGATATTTGGACTTGAGAAAATTAGATAAAAATAAGCTGCGCTCAATGACAATGTGAATCGCTATTACAGAATAAAACTACAAGTTGGGAGAGACCATACAGTGCATAAACCCCTTCTGTATCAACTCTGACTGATGACAATGGCCACCTATTCTCTTATTTTGTAGGAATGTTAATATCATTAAGACTGTTTAAATGTTAGGACCTTTGTCACACTGGACTGGTGAAATGCTAATACTTAGATAAGTAGTCAAAATCCAATATGACTAAAATTGTTCAAATAAGAGGATTTTTTCATTGAACTGATTTGACTTGTTTACAGGTCCCCAATATGACCATCCCTAAATTTGACAACAAAGATAAGAAAATGTTATCCTCCAAAAATGAAGTTCATGAAATCACAAGAAATGGATGAGATCATATACCTATAGAAGAAATACATGGCAGCTTTTAATCCACTAAAAAAATTTATTTATCTCTGTGTCTCAAATCCTAGCACAATGTCTGTCACATAGTAAATACTGAATAGCGTTTCTTCAGTGAATCCATGAGTGAGTGAAGAGGTGTGTTCCTGATGAGACTACAACCCAAGTCTCTAAAGAGATAATATAAACTGATATTTAATCTTCATAGACAGTTAAAGTAATATTGCTGAAACAGCATGACAATGACTTTTGAGGATCCTAGAAAGGTGGTCTCTACAAGTAAGAATATGTCAGCATGTTCCAGCATAGTCAGGAGGGAGGGGACCTGTCTGGCTCATGTACATGTTTTAATCCCATGGCAATTAGTGCCCCAGGCTATGAGATTTGCTAACACTGGCCATGAAGATAAACCATTCTGGTTTTATGTTTCCCATGCAACACCAAGCAGCATTTAGCTGCTGATCTGAGTACACTGACACATTTAGTGTTTATATTTCCATTGAATAAACCAACAAATTGGTGATGGTTTATATCTGTCTCTTGTAAATTAGGTTAGTATTTATTAATCCTCCTTAATCTGATCATGCCTGATGAACAAAGGAGTTTTCAGACATACAGTGCTGAGGACCAGACACTGAATCAATGATGAATCCACGATATTATGGATTAAATTGTGTCAACCACTCAACAGTTCTCTTTCTCTCAGTTGGGCAAAAGTGCAGGTAGGAGGCTGGCTATTTAGCTCGGTTGGTTAGAGTCTGGTGCTGGTACCACAAATGTCTACAGTTTGATCTGTGTACTGGCCAGCCTCAAAAAAAAAAAAAAAAAGGGTACCAGAACTCCTAGAAATGAAAGATTCACTCAATGAAATAAAAACACAGCAGATGGCTTGAGCAGCAGGCTAGAGCAAGCAGAAGAAAGAATTTCAGATCTCAAAGATGGTCTTTTCAAAGTAACCCAGGCAGACAAAAAAAAAAAAAAAAAAAAGGTGCAGATAGACTTGAATAGAGACAATCTTATCCTTCACAGGTGTATTAATTTCCTATGGCTGCTGTAACAAATAGCGCAAACTTGGTGACTTAAAACAACATACATTTATTCTCTGACAGTTCAGTAAGTCAGAATTCTGAAATCTATCACTTCAAAATAAAATCCTGTGTCTTACAATGTCCTATGTGATCAGGCTTCTGCCTGCCCATGCAGTATTATCTTCTGGAACTCTCTTCATTGCTGTTTATGCTTTTAACCACCCAGGACTTCTTTCTGTTCATACAACATGCCAAGCTCTTTTATAACTTGGGTCTTTGAGCTTGCTATTCCCTTTGTCTGGAATGTTCCCTGCCTCCTAATTCTTTGAATATCTAACTCATCCTTCCATCTTCACCTTCCAGTTCGCCTCCTAAGAGGTCTTTCATGACATTCAGTCTGAAAGTACTGCTATGGTCTATCATATCACGCTTCATTTTCTTTATACTGCATGTCCCACTCCACGATGTCTTCAGTAGGTGCTTGTTAGCCTTGCCTACTAGAATGACGACTCCATGAGTCTTGTCAGCTGTTTAATTCCCAATGCCTACTCGTGCAGTGCCTGCTAAAGACATGTTCAAGTACATTTGCTTTAGTCAAATGTTCAAGAATATAATTAACTCACATTGTATACTCAAGTAAAAATGCAATTTGTATTAAAATTGAGCAGTATTTTCTTAAGAAAATGTCTGCAGAACTCTCCCATAATTTTACCTAAGTAATCCTGGGTGGATAATTCCCTTCCCCCATTCCCCCAGCCACCATCTACTGGGGGTAAAAGGCTGATAGCACATTTGGTAGACACTTGCTTTAATTTCATACATATCCTGGTCTTTTTATCTTCTAGCCTAGGGCTTTCTTCTTTGACCATTTTTGCTTTTGTCTCCTTGCTCCTTAAATCAGGAAACGTAGCATCCCAATCAAGCTATTGTCTGGTAAAAAGAACCACAACTGTTCAGCATTTATGAGAGAAATTATTGCTCTATTGTTAAGACTTAAAATGCAGGGTTCATTTGGCCTATTCTTCAGCCTCAAGAAATGACTGCACTCAAAGCTTTTCATACCTGACTCTTGTCTCAAGCTTTCTGGGAAAAGAAAAGAAAGAAAATAGTAAAATTAATGATTAAATTGACATTATAAGATTCTACAATAATATGTTATACTAAAGGCCAAAACTTTAAATTTGTAACTATATTTCTCCATAAGTACAAAAAAAGCAAGGCCCAGCAACTGAAAACAAATGGAAACTCACATCCTGCTGTAGGATCAGCCACAGCCCCTCTTCTCTCAGCAGCCATGAGCGCTGGTTGCTCTGGTCACTTATTGCCAGGAGGCAACATTCACATTAAATTCTGGAGTTGTGCAAAGTGGCAGTTCCATCTCTTTAATAACTTTATGTTCTTGAATTCTGCAAAAGTAACTTGTGTTGAAAACTTAGATTATTAACACTCATGTCTGAGAAAGGATTTACCATTGTTTTAAACTATTGTAGGTTTGTTTCTATAAACTCTGGAAACAATATTCTCATTCTCACAACTTCAAGAAAGGCCTCTACCATTGCATGTTTATATAGTTTTTTTTTTCATAAGACTTTACCCATGAAACTTTAAGGAAACACTTCCAAAATATGTTCCTCTGAACTGTAATCTTTATTCCATATGTATTCTATAGGTAAGGATGTTTGCAAGATGATTCATTCCATAATTGCTTTATGTAGAAATTCACAATGACCTTTAATGGATTAGAGGCTCTGAGAAGTACTGCATGAGATAAACTTGATTAAATGTGTTTAACATAGTATTTCCCAGGTTTATTTAGCCACAGAATCATTTTTATATGTAGTATCTTTTAAAAAAAATATTTTGAAAAATACTGCTCTAGAGAATGCCAGATAAAATAGTTGAGGAAAGTGAAAAGAAAAAAAGGTTTGTGAGTGACATATATGAAGTCCTTTTTTTTTTTTATGTAGCATTGTAATAATATGTGCCCAAATATAAGGTAATATGTTAGGTAAGCCTGGGACGAGCATGGGAATGGGTAGTTAGCCGAAGTGGGATGAAATGGACCAGAAATCCTTGTCCTCTCCTTCCTCTAAGGTGCGGGACACACTGGGACACACTGGACTTGATATAAGTTCTGGGGCATGCCCAGTCTCCTGCAGAAGATGGTATGCGGCGGAAGTATTCCAGCTCAGGTATGTGATGTCTGGCACAGGGTCACAGAGCATCCCAAGGAACACCCCAGTGGAGCATGGTAATTAGAGAATAAACAGTACTCTGGAGCTGAGCAGTTAGTCATTCAACAACAACACCCTCTATCAACACATAACAATGTTTTAGGAGTAGGACTCCAATCCCTGGGAAAGAGCCTATCTTAGAAGAACGAAAGCACCAGAAGGAGCTACTGAGGCAGGACCAGAACACCCCCTAACCCCGCACAGTAAGAAGAGACACAGCCAGCCCATGTGGTCAGGTGCCCTCCATCTCTGAGCTGACTGATACCTAGCTTTTTGAGGGTAGCTTCTTATGTTCATTTCTCACTCCCATGCCTACTTAGCAGGTACTCAATTTTGGTAAGTAGTTTTTGATCTTATATTTCTTGGTAATTATGTCACACCACCAGATTGATCCTTTTCCTATCATCCTCTCTTCCACACCTGCACCAGGCCCTAAGGCAGTGGTTCTCAAACTTTATTTAGTGTGCATCAGAACCTCCTGGTGGGCTTGTTTAAACACCATTGCTGAAACCCTCCCACTCCCAAGTTTCAATTCTGTAGGTCTAGAGTGGGGCCATAGAATTTGCATTTCTAGTAAGTTCTCAGATGATGAGGAACACAGTTTGAAAACCACTACTCTAAGTTTTTCCCCCCAAATAAACAAAAGTATACAAAGAACCATGTATTTCCACTGATGTAGTCACAACCTATATTTAACCATTGTTACCATTTTACCATATTTTCTTTATCATCTTTCTGAAGTATTTTAAAGTAAATTATTTCATAATATTTTATCCCTAAATATTTCATATATGGGAAATGAAGACATTTTCCTACATAACCACAAGATTAGTATCACATCTAAAAAAATTGATATTATTTGTGATATCATCTGATACCCAGTCCCAAAAATGTTTTCTACAGCTATTCAACCTGGAATCCACTAAAGAATCACCTGGCTAGTCCCATATGAATGGGTTAATGGGTTAATGGATGAGTGGGTCATCATGGTAGTGGCTCTGGTGGCTTTATAAGAAGAGCAAGTGAACACGTTAGCATGCTCCTGCTCTTGCCACTCTCGCCCTGTGACACTCTGCGTTGCCCAGAGTCCCCACCAAGAAGAAGACCCTCACCAGATGCATCACCTTGACTTTGGACTTCCTAGCTTCCAAAGCCATAAGAAATAAATTTTATTTCTTTATAAATTACCCAGTTTCAGTATCCTGTTATAAGCAACAGAAAACTAAATAAGGCACCCTGTGATACACTTCCTACAGAAAAGCTTAGCTGCCATGAGGTGTGGCAGTGGGAGTAAATGGACTCTACTCTCAGACTCCCTCTTCCAGTTAGCTGGGGCTCTACTGACAAGGACCCAGGCTCAGGGAAAAAGACATGACACTGATCAATCTTCTGAAATGTAGTTCCAGATAGAAGCCAGCTCTTTGAAACAACCCAAGAACCCCGAAATCAACTGTGAGAAATGGCTCAGAGCTAGACTGGCAGCAAAGATATAGACCAGGTGGAGATGAACCTGCACATAGAGAATAAATAGTCTTGGTTTTGAGGATGGGAAGGAGCCAAAGGCTGGGGATTAGGTAAGACTTTATAAAACTAGCCCATTGGGCCAGTTAATGGATGTTAAAAGTAGAAAAAACCCTTTTGCAAGTGAAGTCATCTTCATGTGGGAATTGTATCTTTCCTAATCAACCAATAAATAAGTGTTTACACATCAAAGTGAGGGAATTTGTGTATCAATGCGAGTTGGCAAATGATATACTGGTCTCACTGGTTCATCGGCAAATACACATTTGCTAACTCAATAAAAAATATTTATTTTGTATTAGGCAATAACATTAAATTTTCTTGACTAGAGCTAAAATTTAGGTAAGAAAGCCATGTTACATAACAGTATTCAAGAAAAGGGCTGTTCAGTTAGCTCAGCTGGTTAGAATGTGGTGTTATAACACCAAGGACAGGGTTTGGATCCACATACTAGCCAGACACACACACACACACACACACACAAAAAAGATTGCTACTGGGGTGAATTAATTTAAAAATACTTTACTAAGTAATTCCTTAATATCATGTTCTCAAACCTTTCCACTGAAATACCTCTATTATGGAGGAGACTGAACCGGTATATACTAGAGGTCTGCCTGCAGCCACCTACTCCAAGGATTAAATTTATTTCATGCCTCATATTAAAATATTAACTGAAATTCTGCATTCATTCCATTTAATATCATTTGTTTTATAAATAATAATAATAAGAGTAATGCCCTTTAAAACGTTAAGTAAAATCAGCGCTATAAAAATACAGTGGGATTCACGGTCCTCATCTATAAAACGGGGGGGATAATAGAACATCTGCCTCATAGGATTATTATGGACATCAACTGAGTTAATATTTATAAAGCCCTTAGAACTGTAATGGCACATAGTTAATACTATAAAAATATTTGTTAACTAATTATCATTATTTATAATAATAAATAATATTATCAATTATTATTCTAAGTTCATCCTATTGTTTTACCTACTTTCATGCAATCACCTGCCAGGATATTAGTAACCTAATTGGAGTGTGATTTTAATATTTAAAGACATAATTATGGGTACAGTAGGAGACAAGGGAGAATGTGATTGTTTATTTGTGCTAAGTTAGAAAAGGGATCAAAGAACAGAAGGAAATGGCATGAAGCCCGGGGCATTGGCAGAGGGGCAGCTGGAGTGTCCAGTCCAGTCAGCGCAGACATTGAATGAACCTGTGCCAGGTGCTAAAGGTCTGTGGAAACCATAAGCAGTTTTTGAGATGATGTGGTGCAGTAGTTCTTAGACCTCTTCCATCAGAATCACCTAAGGTGTCTGTTAAGGATGCAGAGTGGACTGCCCCACTCTAGATGTACACAGTTAGAATCCCTGGGGGTGGCCCTAGGAGTCAGGATTTTAGACAAACTCCAGTTACTATGTAAGTAGAATGTGAAAATCATTGTTTATAAGAGATATTGCTGAGTGTTAATTCACTTTTCTCCTTACAAAAATAAATTTTTAAATAATATTTTTAAATTTAAAAAAAATAGGGGCCGGCCCGGTGGCGCACTGCTATAGTGCGCCGCTTGGGAAGTGCGGCGGCGCTCCCGCCGAGGGTTCGGATCCCACATACAGACCGGTTCCCGCTCACTGGCTGAGCGAGGCGCGGGAGCAACACCGAGGGCTGCGATCCCGTTGCCGGTCCCGGTCCGGTGCGGGGGCGACACTGAGGGTTGCGATCCATTGCCGGACACGGAAAAAGACAAAAAAAAAAAAAAAAATTTTTTTTTTAAATATTTATAACCTACTCACTATGTCAGAATAGTCTAGAATTTTTGGCTGGAAGAAAATTTAGCAGTCAATGAGTCCAGTAATTCCTAATTCTGGTGGCACATTATAGTAACCTGGGTAGTTTTTTTTTAAAAAAAATATGAGTACACAGGCCCTACCCTTAAACAATTAAATCAGAAATTCTGGGGGCAAAAACCTGGACATAAGTGTATTCAAAAGTTCTTCAAATACTTCTTATGTGCAGCCAGGATTTAGAATCACTAATCTGGTCCAATCCCTTCATTCTGCAGGTGAGGAAGCTGAGGACTCAGAAATTAAATAACTTGCCTAAGGTGGCAGAGCTCTCTTCAAAAAGATAATCGTGTAAGACAGACTGGCTATGCATTAGCGCAGTGTTCTTCAAAGTAAAGGTAATGACCCATTAGTGATTTGTGAAAACAATTTAAGGCATTTTTGAGCAGAATTTTTTAAAAAACAAGATAGAACAAAACAAAAAAATATTAGAGTACAAATCTGATGCTCAAGAGTACAAATCAGAGTACAAATTTGTATCAGAATACAAATCGATCATGTGGATTGAATGAATGCACCCTCAAGCTCATTGAAGTTTAATCCTCACTGTAACTGTTGAGGTTGGGAATATGATAATTATGCTAATTGAGAGGTAGGGTCTTGATAATTATGATAATCAAGATATTATGATATTATGAATATTGAGATATGACAATTGAGAGATAGGGCCTAAAGAGGTGATTTGATTGTGAGGACCAAGCCATAGCGAATGGATTAATCCATTTAATGGTTTAATGGCGGTCATGGGCATGGGTCTGATGGCTTTAAAAGAGAGTGCATGAGAAGCTCTCTCTGTCTCTCTCTACTCAAGCCATCCACCATCTCAAAATGTGGTACGCTGCACTGCTGAAGTCACCACCAAAGAAGACCCTCACAAGCTATGTTCTCTGGATTTGAACTTCCCTGTCTCTGAAACTTTAAGCAATAAATATTGTTTCTTTGTAAATTACTCAGTTTCAAGTATTTCTGTTATAAGCAACAGAAAAGGACCGGTACAAAGTAGTAATAATATTATTCCATGGGGTGTGTTTGTCTGTGTATTCCATGACTAGAGGTAAAAATATAATTATTATAATGGCTGTCAAAAAACTGGAAGATCCTGCTCTGGAGTTTCCTTAAAATTCCACCCTCTAAGGTTAGAAGCTGATGTCTGTACAGGAATGATGCAGCTGCCTCCCCTATTGGGTAAGTAGCCCACGAGAGGGAATGGATGGCGTTGAGGTTAAGAACGTGGGCCTGGGGGTGCACCCACTTGGCATAAATGGAGTCTGTGCCATTTATTGGTGATGGGAGCCTTAAACATTTTATAGCTCAGATACCAAACTTGAAAATAAAAATAATAATACTCACCTAACAGGATGGTTAGTTTTAAATAGCACAATATCTGTGAAGCACTTAGCATAACTCCTGGCACATAGGAAATAATCAATAAACACAAACAATTAAAATTGCATCCATGATTTATCATTTCCTGACTCTGAGAGAAAAATAACTAAAAATGTACCAGGATTAGAATAATCTTTGGAGGGATGTATATTCTTGGGTCTAATGTTTATTTTAGAAAGACAAAAGCTAAAAAAATGGCTAAAATAATTGCTTTAGCTATATTTACAAGAACATTTTTCTATTTTCACAGAACCTGAAATTATGGTGCCACAAAGACACCTGCTTATTTTGGAGACAAAACATTTATTTATTTATTTATTTATTTTTAAGAATGGCCTTGTATTGCATGTATATAAAGGTGCCACAAAGACACCTGCTTATTTTGGAGACAAAACATTTATTTATTTATTTATTTATTTATTTTTAAGAATGGCCTTGTATTACATGTATATAAGCCAGTGTGCCATCAGCCATTTGGATGTTGTGACTTGTTTAGCTTCACTTTTAGTTTCTTTCTAGAAAGAAAGATGTTGTTCAATATCTGCATGAAAAAATGTTTTGGTTCATTTCTGGTGGCTGGATCCATTTCCATAAAATGAAAAATTAGGCTGTTGGACCAAGAATTCCTGACTGTTGGTCATATACCTCAGTTCCTTTCTTTGCTCAGATCTGTGCATGTCCACAGAGTGTTTCTGGCATACCACCCCCCTTTTTAATATGGGTCTCCACAATCAATGAACAAACTCCCCCGTACTCATCGATTGTTACACTTCAGTTCTGTGAACTGACAAGCGCTCAAGCTGTTCCTAAATAAGGATGTGCTTGGGATGCTTAACATTCATGTGGCAGCTGGTGAAAAACCTTAGTTTTCTTTTTTCTCTTATTCCTATGAAGGCATATGGTTGTTCTAGAATGTTATTTGCATACGAGGGTACTCAAAAAAGTTCATGGAAAATGGAATTTAAAGGTAGTACGAATCCTTCCATGAACTTTTTGAAGACCCCTCATATATGCATTTACTTATATACATACACACATATACATATACACATATATACATGCACACCTGCATATATACACATATACACATGCAACAGACTATGATTATATAAGTTCATAGGACATAAACGTATTGGGCTCAGCATTGTAGAAGATTTAGAGATGAATCAAACTCTAGCTTCATCATCAAGGAACTTAATATCCAGGAGAGAAGATATGACATGTGCACAAATAATTCTAATCCAGGAGAAAACACACTAAGTGCCAGGAGAGACAGCTACAGCATGACAAAGGAGGGGAGACTGCGTGCATCTGACAGACGCAGGAACAGTGGAGACCATGGCAGAGGATGCATCTGAGCTGCATCTTGAAAGATGGACAGGATTTGCCTCTGCTGATGTGAGTCGGCCTGCCCTCCTGATGCGGGAGAGCATAAGCAAGGATCTGTAAGCAGGCAGATAAGCATGCCCAGTGACCACTGAAGAGGTCACTTTGGCCAGAGCACGGGGCTCATGAAGGAGAGTAGAAGTCAGTACATTTGGAGAAAGAAGTTATATATTGGTATTCTTGTATGTAGTAACAAATTGCCACATACTGGATGGTTTAGAATAACACAAATTTATTGTCTTACTATTCTAGACATCGGAAATCCAAAATGAGTCTCACTGTGCTAAAATCAAGGTCTCAGCAGGGCTGTGTTCCTTTCTGGAGGCTCTAAAGGAGAATCCGTTTTCTTGCCTTTTCCAGCTAGAAGCTGCTTGTATTCCTTGGCTTGTAGCTCCCTTTCATATTCAAAGCCAGCGATGACCAATTGAGTCTTTCTGACTTCACATCACATCACATCATCTGCCTCCTGCTTCCACATTCAAGGACAATTGTGATTACATTGAGTGCACCTGATGATCCAGAATAATCTCCCCATCTCACGGTCAGCTGATGAGCAACCCTAATTCCACCTGCAACTTTTATCCCATTTGCCATAAAACAACATATTTATAGGTTCCAGGGAGGAGGACACGGACATCTTGTGGGGTGGGGGGCATTATTCTACCTACCATAAGTTGGAACCCAAAATCGAAAGGCCCTGAATTGTCATCCCTATTCTTCATGCCAAGGGAAAAAACACAATGTCTGTTTTCAGAGTAAAGGTGGTTTCAGTTCAAACATTTTCTTGCTTTTAGCTAGAATTATAGCAATTTAACATAGTAACTCAGGTTGTCTCATACTGATTGGACATTCCGGTTGGCAGTTATAGATGACTTTGATTAATAAAAAGTGGGGAAATAAATTAAATGTTGATAATGCAGTTTGGTGTGCTCAGCTTTTCAAGACATAGGGCCCTTTGGGAGGGAAAGTCATAGAAGAGGATCTCAGTAGTGGAAAGATTAGGAACCACTGCCTTAAAAAAATATGGCCTCTGATTATTCTAGTTGGACTTACTTGTGTTTATGGCATTTTTCTCTGTTATTGACAGATCTCTAGGGTGGGAAGATGAAAAGTTTAAAAAAGATTTTTTTAAAAAACTGATTTGACAAATATATTTCATCTTCGAACTTACTTATGGTTTGATCAATAATTCATCCCTTAACATCTCTCTCTTAAAGACTATCTTGTCTGTTGTCTTTATGGATGACAAATTAGGAAATTGGGAAAACAAAATACCTTCTTGTGTAGATAATAAAAACAAATGACTTAAAGCTGTGAAACAGAAAGAGAGAAAAACATCTGATAAGGCAGGAAGTACAAATATGATCAAATCCACCTGTACTGGAGCAGTGAGCTGTTCAGATGCCCTTTATTTATTTGCTTAGCCAATTTGAAGATTTTCCCTTTAAAATAACGCTTAAATTAAAACATTCTGTGGTGAACTACAGGATGGGAAGTTTACGCAGCAGTTAATCACACTGAGCACAGATGCCTTTCCATTATAGATGTTTGTATGGAGTATATTTTTCTTAAATTCCTACTGCTTATCTTTCTGGTTTGAATAAAGAAATGGTGAAAAGACAGTGAACAAACTAGTTATATGGAGAGAAAAATCTAGGCAGGGAGAGGAGTGTCACTGGGCACAGGGACTCTGCTCTGGCCTGTGCTGCCATTTTTCGACACATCACAGTTAACACTTCTTGCGCACTTGCTATGTGCCAGGCCTGGTGCAGAACTAATGATCCTCACAGCCACTCTATGAACCGTGCTCTATTATGAGTCATATTTCTGATGGAGAAACTGACGCTTAGGGAGGGTCATTCACTTGCCGCAGCTCACACTATTCGTGAGAGAGGAGCTGGGAGTCAATCCCCAGGCTGTCTTTTAAAAACACCAATGCAGTCATTTCATTTCCCTACTTGTAAACATTATTTCTTTAAACCTTACAATCTTGCGGTTCTCCACCCTGGCTTCACATTAGAATCACTAGGGGACCTTTTACGAATACGTTCATTTCCCTACTTGTAAACATTATTTCTTTAAACCTTACAATCTTGCGGTTCTCCACCCTCGCTTCACATTAGAATCACTAGGGGACCTTTTACGAATACAATTGCCTAGAATCCACTCAAGACCACTTAAAAACACTGACAACAATACTAATGACAGCAAACACGTATGTTGGGCTTACTAAGTACTCAGCATTTCTCTGACCTTTCTATATCTAATGTCTATCTGTCTATCTAGTCTTATTTAATCCTCAGAACAAGCCTTGGATGAAGATACCATTAACTATCCCCAATTTACTAATGAGGAAGATAAGGCTCAGGAAGGTTAAAAGTGAAGCTCAATGTCACATGGCTAGTAACTGGCAGAGCTGGGATTCCGCTCCCAGGCAGTCTGGCTTGAGTCTGTACTCAGAAAACAGTAACCAATCAAGCAAATAAAACAACCACCAGAACAAAAACCGTTGCTGGTAACCTCTGGGGGATGCTAGAGAACCA